TATTTCTGTAAAACCGAGATATATCCATTAGAGGAAGATATGATAAGGATATATTTGAAAAACTTGTCAAAAAACTGATGTTTGAGATTTGAAATAATGAATTTCTTGGAATAAATCATAGTCTTATTCGAATAAAACGGCAAGCTATGCATTTTGGAAACCTGGTACTTATTCAAATAAACTATGTTTTATTCGAATAAGGGAAGATTTTTATTGGATTAAATGGAGGTTTATTCGACTAAATTTGCAAAGAATAGCAACTTTACTTTTTGAAGGAAGAGAGAAAAAGATAAGTAGTGCATTCGAATATATATATATATATATATATATATATATATATATATATATATATATATATATATATATATATATATATATATATATATATATATACACGAGTCTTCTTGCAAAGGACGCTGGTGGTTATCACTTACATTTGGAAGTACAACGTATTATTTTATAGAATAAACCTAGGAGTACACTAAAATGAGAGACTTCATTTTAGTGTACCCCTAGCATGCCCCTATTATATATTCGAAGGTATAGTACCATACTTTTTACTCCATTTATGAAAATTAGAAGAATTTCTTAGTTGAAAAGCAAATGTATGCCCTTAGAATAAAAGAATTCAACAAGAGTATAATCTTAAAATATGTAAAAATTATTTAGAGAAAGTTAAATTCTATTGAGTATTTTCAAGATCTTAATTAATTACTTAAAAGCTTCTTTGAGTTGATTTTTTTTATAATTTCACATTATTTTTTTGATTTTTTTGACAAAATTATTGGAGAGACTCAACACCCGAACACCTGTAGTAGTCTCGCCCCCATTCTATAAGAATTCCTGAATCTGCCACAACTGGAGTTTAATATTATATAGACAAATACTCCCTTCGTCCACAAATAAAGTTCTCATTGCGTGTTACGATGTTTGACTGAAATTATTTTCAAATCATTTTATATGAAAAATGGTTTGGAATTAAAAAATAAAAATTACATATTTAAAAACTACATGAAAAGATCTACAAAACTAAAGGTGACATGACTATATTATTTTATCAAATAAGACACAAAAATAGGCCAACAAAGTGAATAAAGTTTGACCCTGTGAATAGTGAACGGGAACTTTATTGTTGGACGAAGGGAATACTAATATTTTGGTACTATTAATAAAATTAAAAAAACGGGTAAGGTATTCAAGAAAATCATATAACCCCCTAGGGGTGGGCAAAGTTCATAAAGATTCGTGATACTATCGGAACCTATTACGGGTCGCTCTTATAAAAATGGTTCGGTATCGGTACGAGATGAACCCTAAAACCATTCAGTATCACTTCATTTTAAAATGGAATGATATACTAACATACCCATGCTCAAATGGTGCCAACAAATTAAACATGCATTACTCAAATTGTTAGTTCAATGGTGTTGGCTAATCTTTTCGCAAAATAGAATTCCATATTTGTAAGGAGTTTTAGTATGTACAAATTTGTATTTGTTATGAGAGGTTTATTTTATTTAGACTCTTAGAGTTTCTGCTATTTTCGAGGGTGACACACAAGATGCTACAATACCCTGTGACGGGATCAGCAAGGCTTATGCCAAAATCTGAGTTCGCAATAAGTGAAATTTTTTAGAGTTAGAGTTTTGCTGGGAGTTAGCACTTCCTAGAGTTATCTATGAATGACGAGCTATACGAGTTAAAGAATCTCAAGACTTTAGGCTACTTGTAAATCAAAATTAAAGTTGTATTCAAGACAACTTCTACTAACTTATTCATACTAGGTTTGTGTTTGGACTTTGGAGAAGCTTGTAAAAATGCATGAGATCCCCGAGAATTCCTTTAAGCAATTGTGAGGGAAAAACACAGAATACATGATGATCTAGAGCATTCCTGCCGCGTCCCATAGCTTTCTTTGCGTGAATAAAGTAAAGGTCTACATGAAGAAGAAGATCTTCACCGCCAAACTGATCGTAACATCTAGAAGATAAACCTAATATGAACAAGAGGGCTGCCAACCATGTTTGTCCTTGTGATCTCGGTAGAGTTGTGATAGTCAAAGTGGATTCGATCAGGGTTCGATTTATAAATCCTAGATTTGAAGTTTTTTCATAATAATGTGAAGAAGTGTGTCTCATCATGTTGTTATGTACCGGTGTAACTTGCATTTAGTGATCTAGTGGAGGACTATTACAAGGACATGAGCCCCATAGAGCAGGAAAGTTCTCGGAACTGCGTAAACATATCTGATGTTCTTTTTTATGCATTTTATAGTTACGACATTTGGCCTAGTAGGTAATGTAACACCCTCTGCATCATCTGCTTTTGTGTGAGTGCTTGTGACGGAAAATGTGTTATATCACACTATCTGTCATCTGGCATCTTTCCAAGCAGCATGACCGGTCAATTTGTTTCCATGAATTTTATTTGGTAATTCTCGTTGCACTTCGAGATATTTCACAAATAATATGAAAACAAAAGTACAATTTTGTATAAAAGAGCACAACTTTGTTACAAAAGTGATGCATACTTTTGAATTTAAAAAGATCACAAACACAAAGAATAAAAGAAAACAATACCAAATGTAGAAAATAAGAATTTTTAATTCATACAATATCAGACTATTAATATAAGTGAAATTTGCACTGAATATGACTAAAACATAAGTCAATTTCCAATGCAGGACTTAAACTTTTTTATTCCCTAAATGGGACTTAATAATGACTAGTGAGAAGAATAATGTTCAAGTGATGCTGAACATTTAGTTGAATAATGACTAATAAATAATGACCAATGGGCCTACATTGGAAAATAAAAACATATGGTCATATATTGAGAAAGTCATTATGTTTTAGTCCTATTTAGGTAAATTACCTTATTAATAACTCCAAAAAATAATGCTCATAGTAGTAATAAATATAATAACAACAATAATAATGAAAGAATATTAGAAAAAAAATAATACAATGCAAATTACTCCATATACGGTAAGATGAAGGAGACCAATACTCCCAAGTATTATTTGACATATTCTGTAGATAGCTTTGAACGATTCGGTCCGTGTTATAGTCTCATCCCGTTTGTTATCGGTTCGGAGAGGAAAAATTATTCAATCTAATTTAAAAACACTAAAAAGATTTCGGTACCATTACGGTTTAGTATGATACCATGTTAGTTCAATTTTTTGCCTACAAGAATGCTTCCCCGTCACATAAAACTCTTTACACTTTACTTTTTGACATCTCATTAAACTTTTTATACTTTTTATTCTTTACCTTGATAATGAGTACTCTCTTCATTCTTTTTTAACTATCTATCTTGTTTTGTGTCAAACGCTTGACTAAATATATAAACTTTTTACCAATTTATTAGTATCGAAAAATAATTTTAATGTGTTGTTTGTATAATTTTTTATTGATATATTTTAAGAGAAATGTATGGTCAAACATAGTATTCGTATACAACGAACCAGACACTTAAAAAAGAATAGAGAAAGTATGTAACTACTAATAATTCTCACTTTTATAAACAAATTTACCTACACTTCTTTTATTTTTTAGAAATCACCCTAAATAGGACTAAAACATAGAGAAAAATAGTAAAATAAGATTTTCATATTTTTTTCTCTTAGATATGACTTCACACTGTAATAATGTGACACTGCACATGTGCACATTACTATACTTTTTGGTAATGCACATGATCATATTTGGTAAAGTAAATACATTTTAAGTCCTATTTTAATATATTTTCAATGTTTTAGTCCTGCTTTAGTCTTTCTTTTATTATTTTTCAACAATTTTTTTAAATATGTGAAAGTGAAATATCATCAATTTTATTGGACAGCGGGAGTCACTAATCAATAACGCATGGATTTTTTTGAAAGACTCGTCAAAGTCATGCTTATGGTATGATCTAAAACGTTTAAATTTCATAATACTGACAAATGAGGGAGGGCGTGATTATTAAAGTATTAAACACTTTAGCCATTGTCTAAAATTAAAAAATCAGGCAAAATTTTAATAGTCAATCTGTCCGGAAATGATCTTTTCATATACTATTCACAGGTTCGAAATTTATTCATTTTATTTACTTATTTTTACAATTTATTTTATAAAATAATATAGTTTTCTCACTTTTTATTTTAAAAATTCTTTTATGTATAATTTTTTACTATATAAATTTTATACCTACAATCAAATAAATTAAAATGAAAATAAAATCAGTAAAACTTCGTAACGTGTAATGGAAGATCATTTCCGGAGTGAAATGCGAAATTGCCAAGCCAAAATACATTTTTTGGGTTTTGAGATATAAGAGCATGTGCAATGTGAAGGAAAAGAAATGTCTTGCAATGTCACATTCTTCCTCTCATATCATGGCATGACAAAGGTAAAATGTCATGCTTGGTGAGGCATGAGTGTGACACTCCACCTTTTTTTTCTTTTTTTAATAATTTCTTTATTAAGTTTTTTTATACATTTTTTTATGAAAAAAATGTATATGAAAGTAGAATAATTTTTTGGTAAAATAAATAATTAAAATATCTTTTTATGTTTAAAAAATATTTAAAAAAATGAAAAAAGTGATAAAAATAATGATTTGCCACCGTAGATATTGTCAATCCACTCACTTGTCAAACGTTGACTGGACTATTTTTTATTGGTTAGAATGTTCTATGTCATCGTGTGACATTCTATTTTTGCATTGTCATTGTTGATGCTCTAAACCACTATGGAAAAAGAAATTCATAATTTCCGAAATTATTAAAAAAAAATCAAGGAAAAGCATAGAATAAATAAAAAAGGAGACCGGATGTTGACAAAAATCATGTCACTGTTCTTTAGAAGGTCGTTTGTTTGTGTGAAAGATTTCTTATCTGGGATCTCACTCTCTCTCTAGAAAAACCAAAAAAAAATTTAGGAGTACTCAAAACGCACACACTTCCTGCAACCTCTCTTTCTAAAAGGAAAGACCCTTGCTTTTTAGAGAGAGAAAGAGAGGAATTGTAGGGGAAGGAAGGGTGTGTTTGTGTGGCCCATCAGATCGAAATCCCAATTCATTTTCATCAGTTTCTTGAGGATCTGAGCTTCTCCAATGGTTTTACCAAACCACACCCTTTCTTGTTTCCTAGTATTTATTCCCCAGTAATTCTTTTTCTTTTCTTTTTCCCTTTTGTTTTTTAAAATTCCGTTTCTATTTCCCCCTTTTTTTCCTTTCTCTTTTATCTGGCTTTGCTGGTGCCAGTCTTGAGCTCTCAATTTCCCTTTTGTTCTTGAGTTGCTTCAGTACAATGAACAAAAACCCAATCTTGAAAAGCTTGTGAGGAGACATGGTTCAAAGATGTGGGTCTGAGGTAAAACTGTTCATTCTTGATTGATCGTTTTAGATATGTTGGTTTTTTTTTGAAGTTAGGTTTGAATTAACAATAATAATGATGATAATTAATAATTGGGGTGTTACGTATATTCAAATTATGCCTTTTGGGTCTTGCAATTAATGCTTTTTTTTCCCATTAATCTTGATAATTAGGAAACGCTTTTTTCTTGCTTTGTTTTGATTTTAATGTGTGTTCACAGATTTGGCTAGTGATCTCATTGTTCTAGATCCTTATTAGCTTCAGTGAATGTTGATCCATTCCTTGCAGATTTATCAAAATTGCAACTTTCCATTTTCTTGTTGAAGTAAGCAAAGAGAAAAGATTAGCTGATTTTCTGCTCATTCTGTTTGGACTTGTGTCTTCGTAGTTCTCGCTAAGCTGTTTAGGTGGATTATTATGTTATTATATTGGGTGCTCATTGATGTTTCACCATTGATACACGGGTTCTATCTAATAGAGTTTATTTATAGAGTTTTAGGCATATAAACGAATCCTCAATTATGGGAGTTCAGTGCACTTGTTCTTCAGCTCTCAGCTTTGGGTGTTCCTTTTCCGTTTCATCGAATATTCATGATGTAGTTCTAATGCTCTATGACTGTTTTGGCTAGCGAATGTGCTTTGTCGAAGAAATACTGTAGTTATTGGTTCACGTGCATTAAAAATATACTCCATATTTAATTAATGAATGCTAATGTTTCAAGAATGGCATTTTGTTTTTGGTAGATTTGTGGATATTTCTTTCTTGTATAGCAAAAAATGATCTTTCGGGCAAATGCTCAATTGATTTGCATATATCTTAACAAGTCATGTTACTAACCCTAACTAGCATGGGATTGAATAATTTTATTCTTCCGGCACTTCCTTCACGATACTTTAGAGTTTTGACCAACTCTCTAGGGAATTCCTTGTTAGGTGAAATGATAAAATTGGAAAGCCCAGCATCGCACCACGAGGGTGTGATGTAGTCAAAGTATTAACCCTTAGTTTGCATTCTTGCTTTGAGGGTTCCTTCCACAATCATGTGTCATAGAAATGTTTCTTGTTTTAAGAGAAAGTTGAAAACAAAATCGTGATCCGATTTCGTGTTTATTTTCCGAAGCACGTGATGGTATACGTGTTTCTTGTCTGTACTTAAATTCTTGTCGTTAAATGCTGCTGATGAAATTGTGGATCAATTTTGTCGTGCCTAAATCCGCTGAGAATATAATGCGAATTCTTGTTTTCATAACTTATTTGGAATTTAGCAGCAACTCATTAATTGCGCTCTACCCGTTTAGACAAAATGGAAGAAAAAATGGTATTGTTTTTTCCCCATAAAAGAGCGAGGCCATTAACTGCGACAATCATTGTTTGAAAGGCACGCGCTTGAAACACGACAAAAAGTTTTCTTTGGATTTTTTTTCAAGAAAAGGAAAGGTCTATTTTTTCCTTTGTCGTTTTTCGCTGGGAGGTATTTAGTTGTATGCCTTTCTGCATACAAACATTTGTAGCATCTTTGTATAAATTCCTGATTCGTGCACAAGCTTTAAGTCTTTCTTTTGAATACATTGCCCGTATGTGTCCCTTCAAGTGGCTGGGCTCTGTGCAAAACACTCCATTCACCTTTAGTTAGTTTTTGAGTTAGGGATATGTGCAAAATTAAAATTTTACTCTTTGGAGTCGGGACAAACAATTGATTCTATTTTATCTTATTTTATTTTATTTATGTTATTGATGTGAAGGGATGGGAACCCAAGTGCACTACAAAGACTATGCTCCGCTTGGATATTGCGACATGAGGAACTTAAGTGAGGACGGTAGCAGTAGTAATTGGTCCCTTTTTTATGGAGATAGACCCTCAACGAATGTGCAACATTGTAATAACGGTTTCTTGTCTCGGAGTGTAATTGATGCATTTCCTGGGTACGACAAGGATGCGGTAAAGCAGAAAATGCTTGAACATGAGGCAATTTTCAAGAATCAGGTAAACACCTTTTTCGGACTTTTCCCCCCGATAAAAACCCTCATTTTTTTCTTCCTGTTATTGCTTTTTTTATTGGATGTGGGTTTTAGTTAAAAATTTCACTGTATCTCGTGCCGTTATTAAAATCTTATAAGCTATATATTACTTTTGCTTCTAGGTTTATGAACTTCACCGCCTTTACAGAATCCAAAGGGACATGATGCAAGAGGCGAAAAGGAAGGAACCGAACCGGATGTCTGTGGAGCCATCGTCATCATCTAGCATCAGAGGATCTCAAATGCCCTCTGAAGATGCTCGGAAATGGCACATGACCAGTTTACCCTTAGCACATTCTAATTATTACGCGAGAGCATCTACATGCAGTGCTGATTTGATGAGCTCTCCTCTAAGCTGTGCGAAGGACAATAATGTCCAACTACAAAACGGGGTCTCCTCAAGATTCAGTGGAGAAGAGCTGGAGGCTAGACCGTCTAAAGTGCGCAAAAAACTGTTTGATCTTCAATTGCCAGCCGATCAGTACATAGATACCGACGATGATAAACAGTTGCAAGACTGCAGATCATCTTTATGTCCAAGTTATCCTGCTAGGGGGAACTTTACTGACCCACAAGAGTGTAGTGTTAAACTGATTCTTGGCAGTGGTGGTGGTGAAATGAGCTCTTCCCAAAAAGAGGTTTCTAAAATGCCCAGTTCCTATTTAAGGAGTTCGTTCGGGTTGGCAGATCTCAATGAACCTGCCCAGTTTGAGGAAACAATCGTTGCTCCACCGGTTGACTTTCTTGGTTGTTCTAATTATCCCAAAGACTCTAAAAGGCCAAATGTCAGCAGTAGTAAACAGCCAAATGCAGCGTTTTTTGCAAGCTCCAATGGGTTAATCAGTAATTCCTCAAAGGGCAGTAAGGGAAAAGAGAGGGATTGGCTTTCGTATGCTTATGAAGCAGGTAAAATCTCTTCTTAATGGAAGTTTTTCGGTGTATTATGCCCTTCTTGATCCCAATTGGTCATTTTTTTTGCAGATAACATGAGAAATGGCCTACTCCCTCAAGGTTTGGAACATAATAAGTTGCCTATGCCATCCCATCGGCATAATCCGGTAACTTATCCAACTCTCAGTATTAGGGACGATATGTGGCGAGAGAGGACAGGTTATGGGCTACAACCCTTTGAAAGAGGCAGGGAGAGCTCTAGTTATAGCCGTGTGGTGGAACCCACGGTGGCACCCCAGCTGTTTTCCTCCTGTCCCAGCCCGTATGTTAATTCTTCTGAGTTTCCCAATTTGTGGCCCTCTGTTTCATCTTTAGAAAAACCAACAAGTAGCCCAACCCAGAAGTTCACATTCTTTCATCCAAACACCTCTCAAAGCCCCATTACCGGGTGGAATAATAATAATGGTAACATCGTATCTGGTGCCAAGAATGGTTTCTGTTACAATGTATCTCCATCCGCCCCGCGGGACCCACCTGTTCATTTCCGACCACTTGGTTTTGATTGTCTGAACTTCAACAAGGGTGAGAATGGACTGCCCGGAAGCTCTACTACTCATCATCAATATGAGAAGCTTCTAGTTGACTCCAACTCGGTGGATTCAAAATCTGCAAAAGGTTTCGATCTGAATGTCATGAACGAGCAGCAGCCCTTCCATGACAAGGGGTTTTTTGGTAATAGTAGTAGTAGTAGTACAAGAAAGCATGAAGAAGAAGACATTACAGCAACATTGCCATGGCTTAAAGTTACGCCTGCTTCCAAAAACAAGCCCTCAAGAGAGGAAAACGAACCGTCCTTGCTCGCTTCTACTTCTGCAGCCATAACTCAGCCCCCAACTCAGGGGCATAATGGGACGAACGCAAAGAAGAATGTCATGATTGATATAAACATGGCATGGGACCTTTCACATGATGAGTTAGAGGAAGACAAGCCAAAAGCCACTAGCGCAAGAAATCACATCGATTTGAATTCTTGTCTTCCCGAAGAGGAAGATGAAGATTGTCCGGGACCCACTGCTGCGGCTAGTAATAATGTTAGAACAAAAACATGTCTAGAGATTGATTTGGAAGCTCCTGCTGTTTTGGACAGTGATGAATATGATCTCCCACCTAAAACGGAGCACATGGAAGATGATAATCTATCCCCAAAAGACGAATCTGCCAGTGTTGCAGCAGAAGCAATAGTTGCCATTTCGTCATTACGCGATGACCCGTCCGAAGATCCTCTGGGGGAATCCCTCCATTGGCTAGCTGACATAGCCGCTTCGTGTGCTGAGGACAAAGAACCAAAGGGCAGCCAGGATGAGAATAGTTTGTGTTTAGAGGGGACGGATTCTTTTGAGGCGATGACGCTGCAGTTGGCAGAAACCAAGAAAGAGGACTACATGCCCAAGCCATTCGTGCCCGAGTGTGGGGACCACAACAACAACAACAACGTGGGCCCGACGGCGTCTTCCCTTAACCACCGGCCTCGAAGGGGTCAGGCGAGGAGAGGGAGGCAGAAGAGGGACTTCCAGAGGGACATCCTCCCCGGGTTGTCCTCCCTGTCGAGGCACGAGCTCGCCGAAGACCTTCAGACGTTCGGTGGGCTGATGAAGGCAATGGGCCATCCTTGGAACTGTGCATTGACAACGACAAAAAGGAGCGGGGCCCGCAACGGGGGTGGTGCTAGGGGAAGACGCCGGACCGTGGTGGCTGTCTCCAGCGACGAACCACCACCACCACCACTACCTGCCGCCATATCCCTATCGCCGCAACTAAATAATGGCGAAGCGGTTTTCGAGGACAAGAGCCTAACGGGGTGGGGAAAGACGACTAGACGTCCCCGGAGGCAAAGGTATCCCGCCGGCAGTACTCCTCCTCCCACCTTCCCTTTAACTTAAACCTTGAGAGAAAAGAGGCTGCAACTTATAGTCCACCATTTATATACATATATATTTCAAAAAAAAAAAAATAGAGACAGACAGAGAGAGAGAGAGAGAGAGAGAGAGAGAGAGAGAGAGAGAGAGAGAGGATGATATTAAGAGACTAAATAGGTGCATTTTTTTTCTGTTACTTAATGGGAGTTATATTGTGTTGAGTTTTTTTTCCCCTTCTGTACATTCTTTGTGGTGGTGTGAGTCTTTTGATTGGTAAGGAACTGAGTAGTCAGGAATAATGCTGCCTGATATGCCCTTATGAATTTATACAGCATTGTTTCAAATATATGCATTCTTCTGTGACTTTTTTTACCACTCTTTTCCCCAAGTTTCCTTGTCCCAGTTTACAGTGCATGTTTGCTATTCACATGGTCAAATTTTATTCACTTTCTTTATCGATTTTCGTTTGTAATTTGATAAAATAAAGTATTATTGTCAATACTAGTTTTGTAGATCTTTTGATGTAGTATTTTAATATGTAATTTTTATTTTCTAACTCTATACCATTTGTCATATAAAAAAATTTGAAAATAATTTTAGTTAAACATCGTAAATTGAAACAGACATTATAAATTGGGATGGGGAAAGACGTGAAAGAAAAACACCTTTTTTTACCCGTCTTTTCCCCAACTCAACCTCCCTAAGCGCTAGGGGGTAGGGGAAGGTGCAAGAGGTGAACGAAAAGGTGGGTGTTTGAGAGGAATAAATCACCTCAAATAAAACTAAAACATATGGAGTAAAGTAACATCTTATATAGAATTTTGCATTATGACACTGTAAAGTGCATCTTACTGTATTTTTAGATATTATATATTGACATTATATTCTTATTTTGAGATAAAAATATGGAGCTTATATTTGGATATTTTCTTTATATTTTACTCTTAAATTAGTTCCTTTTCGATGATAGAGAGTTAGGTGGGATAAGAACTAGTTCTGGATTTTTAAAAAAAGATGTGCCCCATTTCCGAGGGTCTTTTTAGATGCAGTCGGATAGTTTTGGATTAAATAGAGCATTAGAGGGGACATTAAATTTTTATGTTAAAACTTAAAAGATTCATGATAAATTCTTATCGGCTGGGATCAGTGGCTACTGGATTTCAGGGTCCACGGAAGCCACTATCTTCCTACGATGCTCCGTTCATAAAATTGATTATTTCTACTCCTGTTAACCTCCCGGTAAACCCCCCTGCCCAATCCTGACTCCAATTCATCCTCTACCTACGTCAATTGCACCTCGCATGTATAGTTGACTTTAAAGTCTAAAGTTTTGACCTCAAAGTCAACTAAATTTACGTGGTGTAATTGACGTAGGTGAGGGTGAGTTGGGGTCGAGATTGGGCAACGGATTTACTGAGGGAGTTAGGAAGGGTAGTAATCATCAATTTTACGAACGGATCATCGTACGTGTCTGAATCAGGACAGTGGCTTTCGAGGCAATTGAAACCCAGTGGCCACAGAACCGGGCCGTATTCTTATTAGGGTGAATGGATAAGAATGTTTCTGAAATGAAAATTGAGGTATATTTTATATGCAAAATTAACGAGTAAAAGTAATTTTTCAGCATTATTATAGAATTATCAAGAAAAATAATGGGTATATTGAGAGTCAGTTATCATAAATTAGGTCCAAGATGTCAACAATTTATTTTTAGAGTAAACTCTCAAAATAGTTCTTTGTAATAAGGTATTTTCTTAAATCAGTACTCAATAAGTTTTTAATTACCTATATGGTCCTCTATAATTGAACTTTATCCTTTAGATTGTTCTTCATAAATAATGTTACTCAAATAAGGATTAATTGAGGGTATTTTGGTATTTTCTTATCTGCTAAATTTAGAATTAATTCTTATAATGATCATTTATAATGAAGTGCTTTCCCAAAATGATTTTTTCTAATTAAAGATGTGTATTTGATTTGAAATTTAAAAGATTTTTTTATAAATTTTAAATAATTCATGAATTATTTATAATCAATGTGTTTTTTCAATTATCCATTTAATTATACAAAAATAACTGTTTCAAGAATATACTTTAAATTTGGATGATCAAAATACCAAAATATCTCCCAATTAATCATCATTTGAGTAACAATATTTCCGAAGAACTATCTTGGGAATAAATCTCAATTATAGAGACTATGTGGGTAATTAAAACTTATTGAAGACTGAATTAGAAAAACACTTTATTACAAAGGACCATTTTAAGAATTTAGTCTTATTTTTAAGGAAAATTCCCATGAGAGGGTTGGAGCAACCCGGGCCAAGAGTGAGGCCCAACCCACCCAAAAGAGAAATTTGGGGTTGTAATTAGTCGAAAGCGAGGGTGGGGGTGCGGATCATGGTTGTAAATATGTATGGCTAAAGTTGGAAATTAAAAAATAAAATTTACATATTTAAAAATTATATCAAAAGTTTTACAAAATAAAAGGTGACATGATTGTATTATTTTATCAAATATGTAACAAAAATAAGAAAAGAAAATTAATAAAATTTGATAGGGTGATTAATAAATAGATAACTTAATTTGGGGCGGAAAGAGTATAATTTTGGGAATGAGACGATGTATAGTGTAAATTGGTTGCTAACAAAATAAACATCAAATAAATAACTCCATCCGTGCTACAAAATCTTTCTGGTATTGACTTTTAAAAGATTTAAGGAGAGCGTATTTTAGTGTTGATTTTTCAAAAAATGTCCTTGGATGTGATGAGTAAAAGTAGAATGACATGAATAGCTTAATAGTCAATAGATGTGATTGATAGGTAGGTTTAGAATTAGTATGACTAAAAGTAACTTTTTAATAGAAATGAGAATTTTTTTTTGAGATAAATAAAAAAAGAAGAAAAGTTTTGTGGAACGGAGAGATTATTTGTTTATAAAGAAGTCTAGGAACCACTCCAAATAAAGAAATGAAGAATGTGAATTTATAATGGTAAGAGAATTTTAATCTTCTTTTTCTACCATTCCACTAATGAACCTTTTTTTTGTGCATTCAACTAATCAACTTATATCTTTAATCCGAGGAAAATATTGAGCCTATATGCCGTTTTCACACATACGGAGTATATATATATATATTCGAAAGGAAACAACAACAACAACAACCCTGTTAAATCTCAAAAGAGTAGGGTCTGGGGAGGGTGTGTGTACGCAGATCTTGCCCCTACTCGAATGTAGAGAGGCTATTTCCAAAGAGACCCCCGACTCAACGTCGAAAGTTGCATTGCTTGACTAACTGCTACTTCATTAATTAAAGAAGCGCAGACAGTTTAGAGATCCATTTTGATTTATTCCATCACACTTCAAAGCCAAACAATGGTGAAATTTTGGCTCTATCGGAGATGATGGAAATATATATTCCAAAGGAGAGTTATTAATTAATTATTAACTCCTTTAGTTTTATGACTTTTATATTCAAAACATTCATTATGAAAGGTGCAATCCATATCAAAGTTTGTGACCTATAGTTTAAAGTGAAAAGAAACTCTCACATTTAAAAATAAAAAATTAAAAAACAAGAAACAAGTTTTGATTATCCACATACAAAATTGTACAATAGTTATTATAGTCCCTTCGTCCCGAAAAACATTTTTCATTTTTACTTTTGGGAAGGGAAGATAAAGAAATTTGACCAAGGCAAAACGACGACAATTGAAACAAGTTGGGCTTGAAAAATAATAAAACGGGTAGAGCGTAGAAGGTAGTTGAGGTACGTTCGGTTAGAATTAAAGAAAATAAGGGCAATTATGTCCATTTAGATAAAATTGAAATATTTTATGAGAGATATAAGAAGTGAAATAAGTAAAATAAGTAAGTATGCTTGACCAATAACATAATAGTTATACGGTGTATTTATCATTTAATATTATATTAATCACTAATTTACCACACATAATTAAAATAATACTCCGTATTATCTAAGGAGCCCTTTGAATACTTGAGCTATACTCCTTCCCCCTCATATCTATTTTCTAATTTGACTTTTCATGATTTCAAGTATAACAATATAATCATTAATGTCTCCATGTATGTATGATTATAGAATATAAAAAATATGATATATACTTCAAAATGACGGTTCAAAATGAATATATTGATGATAAATTAATATACAAATTCAATGTATTTTCCCCCATAATTTGCAGTCAAAATTTAAAAATTTTATTCAAATTAAAAAAGTCAAACTAGAAAAAAAAATGGAATGAAGAGAGTATTTTGAATGAATTTCCAACCATAGATATTGTAACATAAGGGATTACCAACAAAACGTAAGAGACTAATGAGAGGGCTAGGAGAATAAATTTGAAAACATTATATATTGAAGAAAAAAGATCAAATAGAAGTAAAACATTGAAAATATACTAAAATAGGTGTTCCATTTCTTTATTCCCGAAATAAGAGTTAAAATATACTTACATTACCAATCATGAGCATGTATATTACCAAAAAATATAGTAAAATTTCCATATACAATGCCACATTAACACAGTACGAACTCCTATTCAAGAAAAAAATATATGGAATTTCTATTTTGGTAATACTCCCTCCGTCCCAAAATATAAGCAACATTACGCTAAACGAAGTAATTTTTTGAATTTTTTCAAACCATTTTATTTAAAGAATGGTCTACAAATGAAAAATAAAACTTACATATTTAAAAACTACGTCAAAAGTTCTACAAAACAAGTTGTGACAAGAATATTCAATTCTATCAAATAATCCATGAAAATGCAAAAATAAATAAAAGTTCTCGGGATTTTTAAATAGTGAGTGTTGCTTATATTTTGGGACAGAGGGAGTACTTTTTATATATTTTACTAATCATCTTTCGGTGGGGTTCTAGTGACACCGGAGGTGCCCCACACATTTTGTGGGGGGCTTACGGCGGGGTGGGGGTGGGGGTGCAGGGGCGTCGGTAGGGTGGGGGATTTAGGAGGTGGGTTAGGGGGGTAGGACCCGTCAATTTTGCGAACGGAGCATCGGAGGTGCCCCAAAATGTCAGTGGCACCGTACTCCGGTGTCACTAGAACCCCACCGATCATCTTTAG